CGACCGGGTGGGCATGGCGCGGCGGCTTGCGGCAGCGCACGGCCGGCTCACGTGGAACTGGGTCAGGCAGTTGCGGCCCTGCACATCCTCCACCCGCAGCTTGATGTTGCGGTACGCGTCAGCCTCGTTCTGCGGCAGGCACAGGCGCGGCCAGGGGGAGGCAGAGGCTAGCCGGTGAGCCAGCTGATGGGAGCAGGCGGGGCGAGGCAGCGAGGCCCGCGTGGCAACACACGGCGGCGCCGACGCGGAATGGCGGCATCCGGCTCTGCCCCCGCGCTGCGCACAAAAGCCGGCTGCCCGAGGCTGGCGAGCGCCGCATGCTGGGGAAGCGCTGCCGCCCCGCCCACGCCGCCCAGCACTGCGCCAGCCGGCCGCAATCCCGCTCTGGGCCGAAGGATTTGCTGCCTGTGCTGGCTGCTTTGGTGGCGGTGCCGCACGGAAGTGCACGCGCGATCGCCACCCTGGCGCCGCCCCTCCCGCTGCGCTCAGGCTCTGCTGCCTGGCTTTGCTGCCTGGCTTTGCCCATGCGGCGGCCTGCCGCCCCCGGCCTGCACACCCCCAGCCCCATCCCCAGCAAGCAGGCCCCCAGCTGCGCGCCAGAGCAGGGGCCTCACGTTCTGCAGGTCGGCCAGAGACACCTCCACCACGCGGCCGTTCAGGCCATCAGAGGCAATCTGCAGGCGGCACGGCAGCGGCGGCGGCAGGAGCAGTCAGCACCATGCACCGCGGCACCCGGCCCCAGCCAGCGTCCCTCTGCTCTGGCCGGCGCGCGTGCTGCCATCGCTCCGTCCGAACAATGCCAGCTGCCAGCGCGCCGCCCCCGCGCCGCCAGCCCCGCGCCGACTGCCTCCGCCTCTGCCCTCGCCACCTGCCCCGCCGCCTGCGCGCTCCGTCCGCGAGGCAGCACAAGCTGGGGCTGCCTGCCAGGCGCGGGGCGGGCACGTGCCGGGTGGGGCAGGGCCGGGCAGGGCAGGGCGCACCTTGGTGCCCTGGGTGCGGGTGACAAGCGTCTTGCCCACGTTGCGGGTGTTGAACATGCTGGGGGCCTTGATGTCATACCTGCGGGTGGGGGGGCAGGCAGGAGGGCGGGCAGGCAGGCAGGCGGGCGGGGGTAAGCGGCCCGTGACATCCACATCCTGCACCCTGCTGCCGCGCCATCCCCGCGCCGCCTGCCAGCCCTGCGGCCCCGCTGCTCCGAGCCTCCTGCCCTTCCGGCCGCCACGGTTGCATGACCCGGCTGCCCGTCGCTGCGCCGCTCCCCTCCAGCTGCGCGCGGCGAGCTGCTGCTG